CTTCCCCATACCCACATCAAACGCACATGCCTTCCCCATACCCACATCAAACGCACATGCCTTCCCCATACCCACATCAAAGCACATGCCTTTCCCATACCCACATCAAACGCCCATGCCTTCCCCATACCCACATCAAACGCACATGCCTTCCCCATACCCACATCAAACGCACATGCCTTTCCCATACCCACATCAAACGCACATGCCTTCCCCATACCCACATCAAACGCACATGCCTTTCCCATACCCACATCAAACGCACATGCCTTCCCCATACCCACATCAAAAGCACATGGCTTCCCCATACCCACATCAAACGCACATGCATTCCCCATACCCACATCAAACGCACATGCCTTCCCCATACCCACATCAAACGCACATGCCTTCCCCATACCCACATCAAACGCACATGCATTTCCCATACCCACATCAAACGCACATGCCTTCCCCATACCCACATCAAACGCACATGCCTTCCCCATACCCACATCAAAGCACATGCCCTCCCCAACCCAAACACGTGCCACAGTGACGCCAGGAACAAGAGCATTCTCGGGTCCACCTGCCCTCCTGCCCACATCACATGCGCACTCCCCTCCTCAAACACATCATCCCTGGGCCTTCCAACCACCCCCACATGCTGCAAAAGCAAGCAGTTCCGAAAAGCACACCATGCACCCAAAAGGGGCACAAACATTCCCCATATATCCGTCTAAATGAAGCACATAAAGCACATACCTTCCCCAAACCCATATAAAACTCACGTACCTTCCCCATATCCAAACACGTGCCACAATGACGCCAGGAACAAGAGCATTCTCGGGTCGACCTGCCCTCCTGCCCACACTGCATGCGCGCTCCCCTCCTCAAACACATCTGTCTTCGGCCCCCCAATCATCCCCACTTCCTCCTCCGCCTTCTCCTTCGCCACCCTCACATCCTCGCTCGTCCTCCTCAAAAGGTACTCCGCCCAGAGGTCAAACATGCCCTTCCGGCCCTCCTTTATGGTCGCATTCGCGTAGTGCTTATAGTAGATGTTTGCGAGATCTGATTCTGAGGCGGTGAGGGGGAAGGAGTCGTGCGGGTTGGCGGGCGGCACAAAGCCGTACGCCTGAAGGAACAGGTCGGTGGTTTTTGTTCCGTAGCTGTTGTACAGCTGGCTGCCAGCTGGCAGGGCGGCGTAGCTCCGAACGACAATGGTGTCGGTCTGCTCGTCCGTCTGTTGGAAACAGAAGTGGGTTGAACGTGGGGGGGGGAGGATGGCGGGGATCAAGCAGAGAGAGGTGGAAAGGGAAGTGGAAGTGGGAAATGGGATTGGGCATAGTTGGGAGCGACAATCATGTCGCTCTGCTCGTCTGTCTGTTGTGGGGAAAGGGGTGGGTTGAAGGTGGGAGGGGGAGGATGACGGAATGCGAGATGCACAGTCAGAAATGGGAGATAGCAGTAGCTCTGATCGGCAATGCCATCCATCTGACCATCCATCTGTTGTGGAGAAAAAAGGGGATGAGAAACCGGGGAGTGGGGGACGGGGGGATGGGACATGGGGAGTGGACACGGGGAGTGGGAAATGGGCATGAGACATGGGGAATAGGGAGTAGGGGATGGGGCATGGGTGGGAATATACATGGAGTGTGATAGGACGAGCCAATTCATAGGCTCACCTGCAAGCCAATGTTGTTGTCGTCATGGCGGTGGTCAAAGTGTTCAGCCAGGGGGAAGAGCGCCGTCACATCCTGCGTCTCCCTGGCAGCATCGACACTAGATCTACCTTGGCTGCGGCTATTGCCACTGCTGATACCGAACACAGTCTGTGAAGGCCCACCTGCCAGCCGATGTTGTTGGCGTCGTTGTGGTCAAACAGCTCAGCCAGGGGGAAGAGCGAAGTCACATACTGCGTGTCATTAGCAGCCGCACACTGGAACCGCCACTCCTGCTATTGCCTCTGCTGGTACCAATAACCAGACACCTGCCTTGGATTCCCACCTGCCAGCCGATGTTGTTGGCGTCGTGGTGGTCAAACAGCTCAGCCAGGGGGAAGAGCGCCGTCACATATTGCGTTGCTGACCCCGTGGCCTGACTCGCAACAGACACACCACATCCGTCAGTGCTGCTGCTGCTCTGACCATCACTGCTGCTGCTGTCGTTGTTGCTGCACCTGCCATTGCTTGCGCTGGCGCTGGCTGCTTTGCTGAACGCACGGGAGGATACGATCGCCATGGCCCACGCGAACTCCTCTTTTGTGGCATTCGCGATGGCTGCCTTATCGCACTGCAAATACTCCGACTCAAAGGTTGAGCGGTAGGAAAAGGCCTGGAATAGAGAAGTGGGTATCGAGGAGCAGAAGTGGGGGAGTGTGTTGCTGAATGTCGGAGTATTGCTGAATGCCGCCGCCTTTGCCATGTGTTGTGCTGTCCTTCCCTTTCCCCCTTACCCCAGGCCGTACCCAGGCAAAGGCGGCGGCAGCCCTGTCTGTCACATCGCAATACTCCGACTCTAAGGTCGCTCAGTAGGAGAAGGCCTGGAGGTGCTCGGGTAGCGGGCATTGGGGAACAGAAGTAGGCGAGTGCTTTGCTGAAGGCACAGGAGGACACTGATGAGAGGACCCAGGCGAACTCCTCCCTTGTGGCATTGGCGATGGGGGTTGGGAAGGCTTGGGTTTGGTGACAAGGAAGGACATATGAGCCACGTTGCCTGACTTCTCATACTCTGAATCTAAGGTTGTACAGTGGGACAGAGGGGAGGCCTGGGAAACGGGAATGATGAGTGCGCCATTTGCAGCAGTACCAGCAGCGTCAGCACCAGGAGCCTTGTTGCACACCCCTTGCTCCAACGCATGGCAGGGTCCCTGCCCTTGCCCTAACGATGGTATTTGGCTACCTTAAAGAGAGTGCTTGCCCCAAGTCAATTGCCACATGGCGCATGATAGACCACTCATCAGGGTCCCTGCCCTTGCCCCTTTCCCACGCCGATCAGCAGCAAGACCAACGCACTCACATGGTCTATCATGCTCCGCCCTCTCCCCACCTTCACCTCCCCCCCTGCGCCTGGTTGGACCAACCCACTCACATGGTCTATCATGCTCTGCCCTCTCCCCACCTTCATCCCCCCCCTGCGCCTGGTTGGACCAACCCACTCACATGGTCAATCATGCTCTGGACCTCAAACTCCTGGATCAGATCATCGGGGAAGAACGCCGGGAGCGGCACATACTCAGGCAGCGAGCGCACAAACACCCCCCACTGCGACCCCTCCCCGCTCTCCTCCTTCCTCCTCTCCCTCAGGATCCACGCAGCGAGGATTGAGAAGGCGGGCCAGCCGGCGAGAGGGGAGAGGTCGGGAGTGAGGGGGTAGGGGTGGGGCAGGGTGATGGGCTGCTCGGGAGAGATGAAGGCGGAGGGGGGGAGGGAGAAGAGGGGCTCGCCTTCGACCAAGTCACGTGCTGCTACCACGGAGAGACCACGCCTGGGAAGAGGGGGAAATAAGAAGTGGGGAGAGAGGAGAAGGGATGAAATGGGCCACGAAAACGACCATTAGATGTGCTTGAAAGAAGCAGTAGATGTGCCTTATATGGAGCACATGATGGTACCATGGTATACAAAGCTGGGAAACAAATCCAAGATCATTTGCACCTAAAAGTTTCACAACAATGTGGCTTGATGACGATGGCTGATCTCATTGGTACCACAAACGGAATAGAATGACAGCCTTCGCACCTCCGTTGCGAATCCCACCTTGTGCGTGATAGTCCGCGGTTGCCACGTGGCCTTCCCACAACAATCTGACGAGCGACAACGAATGTGGGGAAGAGAAAGCAAGGGGGGAGGAGTGGGTGTGGTTTGAGAGAGCATTGCCGCGCCGAAACTTCTCAGCGAAATGCAAATTTGGAGTGTAGTTTGAGAATTAACAGTACATAATCTAACAGAGTGCGTAAGAGTAGTCTGGATATACCTGTAACGGGGAATTCGGAGTCAGTCCTGTGACTCCTCGTTCCACTAGCCAGTCCATCATCTCAGAAGCAATGTGCTCCTCCGTCAGCGTTCCGTCCGAACTGACGGAATCTTGCCTAATTGACTCCGTTCCGTCAGCATTGGACTGGAGCGGAGAGATCAGCAGCAACGAAAGGAGAAGCTTCACGAAAAGCATGATCGTGAATCTGGCCTACTAGCTGTCGAAGCTACTTGAGACACAGATGCAAAAAAAATAGTATACGGTTCAGGATTACACCCGACAACCGGACCAGACGAAATAGGTCGTCCTATGGACAGAGCCGCCTTCAGCAGGCTGACTTGGTCTAGGAGCTGAAGTCACTGAAGTAACCAGTGAGGTGCTGCGGTGAGCAGACAAATTCCATGAGTGATCTGGACTTCGGAAGTCCAGTTCGACATCTCCCAGGCGATGGGAGATCTCAGGAAAAGGTGATAGTGCCCTCTTATCGAGTACAAGTGCATGGAACAAGCAGGTCGCAAATTTAGAGTATTCATATGTTATAGTTGAAGGGTGGCGAACATTACTATAGCAGTAAATAGTGTAATATTTCAAGCAAAACCTGGGTAGGCATGCAATTATTAACCGTATAATGTAAGTAATGCATTATGTGTACTTAAGGAATGTTCCGTTCCATAAATAAGCGGTGTATATATCAAGGACAATGATCACACCAGCAGCTGTCCTTGTCGCATGCGCGCCTCCTCCCAAATCCGCTAGACACAACCGCGCCCCTTTCCGCGATTAAACCGCCGTTTCGCATACGAGGAAGCCGCAGCCAATCCAGCGAGTCGCACACATTTTTCCGCGTGAAGCTGGGCTCAGTTCACGGACGCAGGAGGTTGAGGAAGCAAGCCACCTCCGCCGCTCACCATCGATTGTCACCGTTCACCCGTTATCCCCGCTCACCCTGGCACCGCTCACCTGTCGATCAAACACCGACACCAACAGCAACTGCAGTTGAGTTTATGAATCGAAGTCGAGACATTGGTTTCATAAGTAGGAGGCATCCACAGCTCACCGACACATCCGCCTACAAATCTGAAATTTCACAAGGTCACACATCACGCATATCAAACTACTACTCCATTCGCCCATTGTCCCCGCTGCCTTTCTTGACCTGCTCTGAGCTAGAAATCACTCTCCTGGTAAAGCGCTTAGTAGTATTTCCGAAGTCTCTGGCTTCTAGCGTTCTACCTCGTTTCACCGTCATGGCTCGTTCTCATATGCCCTTCTCTGTTCTGGCATTGGTTGTAACAGCTCTACTCGTCTCATGCGCGGAGTCTAGAAACCTCCCCAACGAACTGCTTGGGAATCGCATCCCAATTCGGCCGGCGAACGGGTCGATCAAGCTCAATGTCACGCTCAGCCTGAACAACAGCGTCTCTGACCTCAAATCCACGTTACAAGCGCAGGTCGTTTCGCTAGAAGCCGCGCTGACGAAATCGCTCAACAAGCTCGCAACCGCATTGAACGATAGCGCATTCACGGCGACATCCGCGCTTCAAGCGCAAGTCTCCGCCCTTCAAAGCAGCTTCGCCGCGTTACAGGAACGCATAGCAAGCCTCGAGCTTGTCACCTCCGTTACAATCACGGCTTCTAGCACTTCCCAGGTCACACCGGCCGCCATTTCCGCTCTCCAGTCGCGGATCTCGTCGCTCAGAGCCAGCATCCCCTCTATTAGCAAACGCGCTACATCTCTCAACACCGACCTGGGAAGCATCCTCGCCAACCTGCACGCGTTGCTGAGTCAGAGAATCGCGGCGCTGACTCAGAGGGTCGGTGCGTTGAATCTGGACGTGTCGGCGCTCGCTGCTCAAGTCGACGCGCTCCTCGCCCCGCTGAGTGACGCCCTTGGCGTGACGGACCTCGTGGCCCTGCTGCCGCAGCAAGCAGGTTAGTGTCCACAAACCCTAAAACCGCATATTGAAACCCTCTGATTAAACCCTAGAGTCGCGACACTCCAGTTTGAAACTCTCTTTTTTAATGGCCTGAGTCGTAGCAGCTGTGCTTTGCCTTGCGCGTGCTTATCTATTTTGTGCCACCCTAGGTTATTCACCTTGTTCTGCCGCTATCCTTGACTCCCCATCACTGCAGGCATGCTCCGTGGCGTTATGACTTCATGCGAGGGCCTTGTGCAGGCAGGGGCAGCCAACATCCAGATCACGAAAATGTAAGTCACATCTTCATAACTTTCTGTGGACCTTGGAACCGTGAACCTTCTGCGTTTGCTACCAAGTTTCCCTTTGAGCCTTGCATTCTGTTATTTCTGTTTGCATCACATTCGGTTTCATATTTGGGTAGACTTGACATACCGGTTTTTCATTTCAGAATCTTACTTTCGTGGCCCTCTTCCGTGTCCAACTTTCCCTCCCCGCAGTGGCTCGTCGTACACCCTAGCCTACTACCTCGTTGCCACAGGCATCACGGAGGCACCTCAGGCACAGGCCATCTACCGCGGCAGCCCCTGCAGCGGCGGGGCCAGCTCGTCCCTGCAACTCACCGGCACATGGCAGCTCGTGAGCTCTGTCTCGTGGTCGCTGGTGAATGTCGTGACTGTGGCGGAGGGGAATGTTGCGGATCTGCTCAGCACCATCCAGCTTACTTCTAATGGAGACCTGTATATAGGATTCATGGGCAGCAGCAGCAGCTTGTCAGGGAAGCTGATTGGTGGGAAATTCTGAGGAAAGAGAAACGTGATACAGGAGAGGGTGACAGAAGACTGCAGAAGGGACATCACGTATGCACAAATGATGCATGTGATATAACTGTTTGTGCATTTGTGATGTTTCATCTCACTCACTTGTATAGCAAAGCATTGTGCAAGAATTGTATGGGTTATTGCATCCAATGAAGTGTTGCTTCCGAGAACAATTGCCAATCATTGATCAATACGTCATTCTAGATGTTTTAGTTTCTATTTGCACAATAGTAGTACAACGGTAAGAATTAATCTAACGTCTGCTCTTTCTGGAAGTGGGAGGACTGGATCGACTGCAGCGCGTACATTGAGAAGAGAGTGACCACAAAGCAAATTGGCTGATCAGGGGAACGACTAAGTCAGCTGGTGGCTGGTACAATCTCTGCGGTTGAGTAAGGTGTCAGACGATTGGAGGCAGTTTTCTCGCTTCATCGCTTTTGACTTTTGAGGCACCCAATCCCACTGTAGAAAGCGTACTGGGGATGTTCTCTGAGGTGGCTATTACGACATATTTTCAGAAGCAAGGCTAAATAACTTGAAGGCTTTCCATTGCGCTGGATTACCCTTTCCACGCAATGCGGTTCCTTCTTACGAGTCCTTAGAACAGGCGGTTCTTGCCTCCCGTGGCGTAGGAGATTAGGGTATCGAACCTAGTGCATTACAGTATCCTAAGGCGTCGAGTAGCGACAGGTGGTTCTCGCCGTCTTGATTTCCCATGGCGAATCGGACAGATCCAAGGGCGCGAACGGTTCACGGCACCAACCCGCAGAATTTAGTGGAGAAGATTCTTCGCGCCAAGATCTATCAGAACATCTACTGGAAGGAACAATGCTTCGGCCTCACAGGTGCGTGCTGTGGCATCAACGGTTACATTCGATCAGTGATCGTTGAACCGTACTGGGAAGATTTATCGTAACGTCGATTGGAACGAGTTATGTATCGGCCTCACAGGTTCGTTATGCAGCCGTCGCTCATGCCCTGACCCATAAGGCTCCGACATGTGTCTGCCGATTACAACAATTGATTGTTGATCGTTGTTAGTCCGGCTTACGATTCCGTCGAGGTTCAGCAGCCAAATTGCATAAGCTGTTTACGATTTCATCCTCCTCTCTAATCGGATCGGCTTCAGTTTCCAGCCTTGTGGTTCTCCACTGATTCGTTTTGTCCGCTTTCGAATTTACATATTTATTTTGCTTCCCTGACTTCGGTTGCGTTTTCCGTCCCATTTTCGTAATCGTCTCGTCCGTTTTTTGCAGCTGAAACCCTGGTCGATAAAGCTATGGAACCAGGCGATTGCTTAAGAAATCTCTTCCGTGGTGTCCGTCGCTTTCTTGTTCTAATTTATTCCTGTCTTCCCCCTTTCCTTCCCCTTTGCTGCAGCTGAAACCCTGGTCGATAAGGCTATGGATCTGGACCATTTCGGAGGAACGTTCGGAGGAAATCGCAAACCTACCCCTTTCATGTGTCTGATTCTCAAGATGCTACAGATTCAACCGGAGAAGGAGATTGTGGTTGAGTTCATAAAAAACTCCGATTACAAGTGAGTGTATATTCTATCGTGGCTGTTTCTCAATGTCTTATAAATTTAACTTGAGAAGGAGATCGTGGATTCGTGGCTCAACTTCGACTACATGTAGCCCTTGGGTTGAACAGATTTCCATTTCAGTTAGCAATCTGGAAAACCGCAACCTATCCTTCCCCCAAACCACCCCCCCCCCCCCCCTTTCCTCCTCCCCCTCTTCGGCCGTTCGCCTATTACCTCAGGTATGTGCGGCTGCTGGGGGCGTTCTACCTGCGGCTGTTAGGGAAGCCTATGGATGTGTACTCGTACCTGGAGCCACTTAGACACACGCTTCCCCGTCCAACCAACCTTCAGTGTCTCCCTGCCCTTCCTTCTCTTCCATCCCCCCTACTTGCTGTCCACCCCCCTGTGACGTCAGGTACGTGCGGCTGCTCGGGGCGTTCTACCTGCGGCTGGTGGGGAAGCCCATGGATGTGTACCAGTACTTGGAGCCGCTGTACAACGACTACCGGAAAGTGCGGCGGAAACTGGACAGTGGAAGTACGTTATTTGGACATGCAAAAGATTCCTTGAGTTGTATATTGTTTTTGTAGGTGGCTGAGGGTTTTGTACCTGCGCTAGCTTGGAAGTTTATGAACGTCTCTAGTTTTCTTTATTTAACTCTGCATCCCTGTCCCTGCCAGGGCTGGTGTTGTTACCTGTGGTAGCGATGTTGATTCAACCTCCCCCCTCCCTCTCCTCCTCCCTCACTCTCTACCTTGTGCTTCCAGGCTATGTGTTGTCACATGTGGACGAGTTCATTGAGGAGCTTCTCACACTCGACTCCAGTTGCGACATTGCGTTGCCTCGCATACCTCGAAGGTAAGACATGCTCTTGATCGTAGCCTTTCTTCCTCCTTTTCTCGGTTATACATGTATGTTTAAATCCATGGATATTTATATATGTATATTGGATTCGCTGCAGTTGTTTCACCTCCTGGTGTCTGTTACATATTCGTATCCGCCCTTTCTTCAGGTGGACGTTGGAAGCAGCAGGGCAGTTGGAGCTGAGGAAGAGTGGTCTGGATTACGACGAGATGGAGGAGGAAGAGGAAGAAGAGGAGGAGGAGCGGGAACCTGTTCCTGATAAGGTATGCGCCGGTCCTGATTTCTTGCCGCGTGGATTAGTTAGTGTGCTCAATCAAGTATGCATCCCATTCTGTTCGTTTTCCCTCTTCCCCTTTTTTCAAACCTTATTCTTTCACATTCCCATCCTTTTTCTACGTACACGTTTTCCAGGCCGAGGAGAAAGAGCGGTATCGGGACAGAGACGGGGAGAGAGACAGGGACAGGGACAAAGAAAGGGATAGGGATAAGGACAGAGACAGAGACTTGGACAGGGACAGGGACAGAGATCGGGACAGGGACCGGGAGCGAGACAGGGACAAGGATCGCGACTATTCCAGGTACGTGATGCTGTGTTCGTGTTTCCTGGTGTGCTCTTTGCTTAGTTGTGTCAGTCCGGGTATGTGGTGATGTGTTGTCTTTTGCTGTTTTGATTGGGAGAACGACCAGCTGCACATCTTCTGGGAAGCTTCTCATTGGGAAGCTTCCTGAAGCATACTGCAGCTGGGCTTGCAGGGCGGCAGGAGCTCATCTTTTTTTTGGGCAGTCCTTCAGTGGCTTTTTGCCTCTGCAAGGTTGCCTTTTTCAGATGGCCAACTTTCTCTTGTCCCCTCGTTCGTGCATGGATGAGGGTTGCCTTGGTGTCAACGTTCTCCCAAGAGTGAACTTGTGTTTGTACCCCTTTATGGAGTTCTTTGGAGCTCCCTTGGTGTGCAATCATGGGTCTCAGCGCTTCCAGGTTTCCCAGTGCTGGCAGTGCTCTGAGAGAAGTATAAAGTGCTGGACATTGTGAAGTTTCTTCCTGTTTGGAGATGGAAACTCTGTTAAGGTGTCTCAGGTCGGGTCTTCTTCTGTGTTGTGTTTCTCCACGTCAGTATTGTTCTCTTTTTCTTTGCCTCTTTCTCGTTTTTTTTTTTTCAGGGACCGGGATCGAGACAGGGACAGAGACAGAGGCAGGGATCGAGACAGAGACAGAGACAGGGACAGGGGCAGGGACAGGGATAGGGATAGAGATAGGGAGAGGGACAGAGACACGGACAGAGATTGGGCAAGAGACAGGGGAAGGGAGCGAGACAGAGACAGGGACAGGGGTAGAGACAGGAGCAGGGAAAGAGATAGGGGTAAGGACAGGGAGAGGGACAGGGATAGGGATAGGGAGCGGGATAGAGACAGGGACAGAGATGGAGAGAGGGAACGGGACTATGATGGGGAAAGGAACAGAGATGGTGATTCGAGGAAGCGTGATCGAAGGGATGAGATGGCTGATGAGAACAGGTGAGTTTGGAGTTCATGTGGTCGACACTTCACTGGTAAACCACTTGCACAAGTACCTATCTTTCGTTCGCCCATTAACGCTATTTTTCTCATGTTTCTGTTTGGATGTGGCAGGGAGAAGAAGACCAAGAAGGATAAGAAGGAAAAGGCTGCAGACGGGACAGATCATGAGGATCCTGAAATTGCAGAAGCCAACAAACTTCGTGCAAAGCTTGGATTGAAGCCTCTTCGTGCTTGAGATCTCTGGGGGACAATCAGATATGTAGGCTAGGGGTCAAATGCTTTGCTCGTTTAGATTGAATGATTTATGTAAAGCCTTTAGTCTTGGAATTGGTTTACCTTTACTCGACTGTTTAGAGTTTCGCTACAAGTCTATGAAGACGGGTACTTTCGAACCCAATATAGGAGTTATCTTCGTGCCCTCTCGGGGCTGCTTGCAGCTGATTCGCCGGGATGCGCAGCGCTTCCCCAAACCTGCCAGACACAAGGCTTGCAGGGAAAGCCCCTCAAATTTCAGTCTTGAGCTGGATGCTAGCACCTGTCAACCAAACTCACTGAAGACACGAGAGAGTCGCCCTAGGTCACGAGTTAGGGAGGCTTGTCGACGAGGCAAAATGTCGCTAACGAACCTCCCGCCTCCACTTAGCGACATTTCGAACCAGCTCAATAGGAGCTTCACTCAGTTAAAGTGAGTGTGGTGCGGCAGCGGGCTAGGATTTACAAACAGAGCTTTAGCATAATCTGACACGTTTTTCTTGTTCCAGGACCACCTTTTCAAAGATTGACAAGTGCGAAGACCCCTCTCGACAAAGTCAATTGCTGGAAGATGTCACGCCGAAACTCAGAGAGTGTAGAAGGTGGATATGAAAGCTTTCGCTTGTAGCCGGGGTGGCTTTATTGAGCTAACGAATCTTGATGCAGGTTAATTCAGGAATTCGAACGCGAAATGAAAGACCAAGAAGCTAAGAACTCACCAGAAGTCAACAAAATGCTTCAGGAGAAGAAGAGGGCCCTTGTGAAGGATCTGAATGCCTTCGTAACTCTAAAAAAAACGTTAGTATCCTCATTTATCATGCATGTCGCTGACACGTTAACATCTAATCTGCTCATGAGGTTGTGTCGCAGCTATCAGGGCGCTATTCAGGAAGGCCAGAAGGTGAAGCTGAGTGAAGACGGAAGGACGGCTGAAGTTGTGGGGGCTCCCAGACTAGCATCGGGTAACACTCGTTCCATGTCGAATCATAAAGCTTTCATTTGACACAACAACTCTGTGGAGCATTCATTTCCAATTTTCCTGCAGCAATGACGAATGCTCAGCTGATGGAGGAGGGGAATCGTGTCTTGGGGCAAACGGACCAATCTGTTCTAAGATCCAAGCAGGTTCTTGTTTTGCAATGATTGTTTTGTGGTCTTCGGCGATGCAGGCTCTTGACGTGTTTTCTATTTCTCAGGTTGTTGAGAACACTATCAACATTGGGGCAGCAACAGCCACGACTCTGAAGGGACAGGTATGGTACTGGATTTTCTGTCTTGGAGGTGCTGATTTCTTATTCTCGTGAGACGTGTGCAGACAGAACAAATGGAACGAATTGTCGATAAACTTGACAATCTGGAATTCTCCCTCAAGCGTGCAACCAAGCTTGTAAAAGCTTTGGGACGACAGGTGAGTTAGAGGGCAATGAAAGTTTCTGTAGTGTCAAGAGCTTATGGCTAAAATGAATATCACAATTACTGGAGCAGATGGCAACAGATAAATGCATCTTGGCAATGCTGGCGTTTGTTATCCTTGGAGTGATTGCCATCATCGTTGTCAAGGTGAGTTGAGACTTCGTTCTGGTTGACTGCCTTAAAATCGAAAAACTTCTGAGCCTGTTTCTGAGTGCTTGCAGATTGTGGACCCGCATAACAAGAAGCTAAGTGACTTTGGACCCCAGGCGCCCCCTGCTACAAACTGAAGTAATATTTTACTCATTGAAGATTACGCAATTGCTTTCAAGATTAGTAACTTACACAATCAAGCAGCAGCCCTCATTGCATCACAGACAAGTGGTACAGTTGGTATTCCCATTCTGTTCCTCTTAAAGTTGGTAGTTCATCTCCTGTCCACCCTCCCTGGTAGCTACTCTCCTTGACGCCCTTGGTACCATAAAGAGATCACACACACACATACACGCACAAGAATCAACAGATGATGTGCCATATATGCATTCAGACTCTGCAGATGGCTTTTTTATCAACTTGTACATATGTTAGTATGTAGTGTCAAATGTAACTTAGGTTGTTATTGTAGACTATACTGGATTGTGCCTTAGAGGGTACAATTGTCAAACATGTGTATTTGCCATGTTTGTATAGACTGTATAGGGTAGCCTCTTAGAGGGTACAACACTTAGGTATATCTGTGTGTACCCTCTCTCTAACATTATTCACTTCTTCAATTTTGAGATGGTATCAGAGCGTACCGCTTCCGCTCGCCCCCCCCCCCACCTACCGCTTCCGCTCGCCCCCCTCGCTCGGCCCCGTCGTGCCCCTAGCCCCGTCGCGACCCCCCCCTAGCCCCGTCGCGCCCCTCCTGGGCCCCGTAGCGCCCCTCCTGGGCCCCGTCGCGCCCTCCCTGGGCCCCGTCGCGCCCTCCCTGGGCTTCGTAGCGCCCCTCCTGGGCCCCGTCGCGCTCCTCCAGGGCCCCGTAGCGCCCCTCCTGGGCCCCGTAGCGCCCCTCTTGGGCCCCGTCGCGCCCTCCCTGGGCCCCGTCGCGCCCTCCCTGGGCTTCGTAGCGCCCCTCCTGGACCCCGTCGCGCTCCTCCAGGGCCCCGTAGCGCCCCTCCTGGGCCCCGTAGCGCCCCTCCTGGGCCCCGTCGCGCCCTCCCTGGGCCCCGTCGCGCCCTCCCTGGGTCCCGTAGCGCCCCTCCTGGGCCCCTTCGCGCTCCTCCAGGGCCCCGTAGCGCCCCTCCTGGGCCCCGTAGCGCCCCTCCTGGGCCCCATCGCGCCCTCCCTGGGCTTCGTAGCGCCCCTCCTGGGCCCCGTCGCGCTCCTCCAGGGCCCCGTAGTGCCCCTCCTGGGCCCCGTAGCGCCCCTCCTGGGCCCCGTCGCGCCCTCCCTGGGCCCCGTCGCGCCCTCCCTGGGCCCCGTAGCGCCCCTCCTGGGCCCCGTACCGCCCCCCCCTGGGCCCCGTCGCGCCCTCCCTGGGCCCCGTAGCGCCCCTCCTGGGCCCCGTCGCGCCCTCCCTGGGCCCCGTCACGCATTCAGGCCCCGTCGCGCCCTGCCCGGCCCCGTCGACCCTTGCCCGGCCCCGTCGCCCCCGCCCGGCCCCGTCGCACCGGCCCGGCCCCGTCGCACCAGCCCGGCCCCGTCGCACCCGCCTGGCCCCGTCGCCCCATCCTGGCCCCGTCGCGCCCGCCCGGCCCCGCCGCAGCCGCCTGCCGGCCCCGTCGCCCTCGCCCGGCCCCGTCGCACCGGCCTGGCCCCGTCGCACCCGCCTGGCCCCGTCGCCCCAGCCTGGCCCCGTCGCGCCCGCCCGGCCCCGTCGCCCGCGCCCGACCCTGTCGCACCTGCCCGGCCCTGCCGCGCCCGCCCGGCCCCGCCGCACCCGCCCGGCACCGCTGCACCGGCCCGGCCCCCCGCGCTCATCCCTGCCTCGGCCCCTTCCTCCTCACCGGTACGGCCTTTAATCCCCCTTGTACCTCACGGCACCGCACTGCACCGCACTGTACCGCACTGCACCGCACTGCACCGCCCTGCACCGCACTGCACCGCACTGCACTGCACTGCACCGCACTGCCCCGCACTGTACCGCACTGCACCGCACTCCGCCTTGCTGCCCTACCCTGCACCGCACTGCATTGTTCCTGATGGCGGCGGAGCTTCGCTTCGACGCTGAAGGCCAGCCTCTGGAGTTCGAGGCGTGGCTTGCCGACCTCCGCCGCCAACTCACTGGCCAGCGGCAGGATGGTGAACCGCTTTCCGCACACCTTGACGGTACGCTCCCCTGCCCAGACCCCCCTGCTATTCTGCCCGCTGACCCCACACCCACTGAGCGCGAGTCTACTGCTGCCACTGCCCGTGCGCGCTCTGTCTGGCTTTCTCGCGATGCTGTCGCCCAGCTTGCCATTAGCAACGCCCTTCCCCCGTCCGAGCGCCCTCGCTTTAGGACCCTCACCACTGCTCAGGCATACTTAGATGCTGTCATCCAGCGCTATTCCACCCCTCCGGCTGCCTCAGTGGGTCGCCTGATCCTCCCGATGCTCTTTCCTGACCTTGCATCTTTCCCCACTGTCTGTGACCTCGCTGCCCACCTGCGCTCGATAGATGAGACCTGGCGCGCTGCCTGCACTGACGCACAGCTTAGAGCCCACCAGCCGCCCATTACCTCTACCCTCTACCTGCTTGCCACCCGCCTCCCTGACCGCCTTGCTGTCGCGCGCGACCGCTTCCTTAGCATTCACCCCGCAAACCTCACCCTCACTGACTTTGTAGACACCCTGACTGTGATAGAGACCCGTCACCGCTCCATCGCCCAGGCGAGCGGTGTCGTGCCGGTCCCTATCTTTCAGGGTTGTGCCCCCGCTCAGTGTACCTTCTCCGACGGCTCTGCCGCAGTGGCTGAGACTGCTGCTGCGGCGCAGTTGCGCTCGGGGAAGGGCCGCCGCCCCAAGGTTGGGCGCGGCGGAGGCGGCGGCGGGGGTGCGGGAGGGGGTAGTGGTGGGGTCGGGTCGTCTGGTGGTGGAGCGGACGAGGGGACCCTGCCCAGTCCAGCTGAGCCGCCGCCCCTGCAGTTGCAGCAGCCGCAGCAGCCGCCGCAGTCGCAGCCTTCGCAGCAGCTGCAGCAGCCGTCGCAGACGAGGCAGACGAGTGTCCTCCCGCCCGGCTGGCCCGGCGCTGGCGGTGGTCGGGCGCGTGGTGGTGTGCCGAGTGGTGGCTCTGGCGGCGGGCGTTGTCAGTACCAGATCCAGACCGGTCCTCGCCGCGGCTTCGTTTGCGGTAAGATCGGTCACTCCACTCCCCGCTGTTTTCGTCGTCTGGACGACCTCTTTCGTCAGCGCTTCGGCCCGTCGCCAGACCTCCCGGACTGGCACAGTTTGCTTAGCCGTAAGATTCAGATCTTTGATATGGACATGGATGCCATTGTTTCTGCTCTGCATGTAATGTATGCTGATGACTCTAGTGTGCTTCCAGCTTATTACTCACTGTTGCCTAGTGTAGGTGTGCCTAGCGTAGTCTCCCCTGCAGCGTCAGGCTTAGGATCCTCTGCTTTGTGTATTCTTGGTGCTTCCGCCGTCGTTCCGTCGTCCGACGCCTCTGCTTCGCTTTCCTTCACCTTGGACTCTGGCGCTTCTCGGTGTTTCTTCCGCGACTC